AGCAAATTGTTAGTCGAAGCCTTATAATCATTACTGATAAAATAGCTCACTGTTAGACTTTTAGTCTGATATATTTTCATTGTTAGTAGTGAAATTATTATTTCACAAGCATCTTTAACAGCTTGGATTTCATTGCCCTTTAAAATTAGAGTCACCTCCCAGAGGGGATGATTGAAATCAAAGCTAGTTTTTGAAAGAAATATATGTTATTTGTAAATTCTATTGTCAATCTTAAGAGAAAAAAAAATTGGTAGGAAAAAAAGCCATATCTCGCAACCCTAGTTGAAAGGCAGTAGCAGTTCTTATATTATCCTATCTGTTTGAGCTCGCAAGAATAATAGTAGTTGTGAAATATTTTTGAAATTGAATGTCTAGTTTATTCCTGACGGGATGCAACTTTCATCTATCACCTCTAGCCACTCTCTTCCTTCAAGGTTAACAGGGACAAATTAAACCATAAAGAATGTTTTAAACACTATTAAAGTGGGAGACTTGTATCAAACCAGCATCTGCAAACACATCAAAAAAGCTAGCCATTTTTGCTGGCCCAAATTATTTCTTTCTTGCTGCCTCTGTGCAACTTTATAAAAGATATGACAGATTCCTGTGCAACGCCTTCCTGATAGTAGGAACCTTAACATAGAAAACAGCACAGCAGATAAAGCAAAGTGACAAATGGTAATAAAAGAGAAGTGCAAACAACGTGGGCTTTTTTTTTTTCTGCAAGCGGATGAACAACTGTGCTCTAGAAACTAGAAAAGAACAGTTTCAGCGTATACTCAAGCACATCAGTGACAACATAATCTGAGACTAACACCTGCAAGTTAACATTATTAAAAAAAAAACAGACTTAGTCTATTAATTTCAAAGGGATTCATTGCATCTATAACTACAGAACCACCTGAGAGATAAATATAAACACATTATGTGCCAAAAGAACTTTGCTTTTATTGCAAAATAGATTATATTATAGAATTGAATTTCGATCTTTAAATACATTTTCCAGAACCTGACATTAAAGCGTATGCTAAATTGCTGATTTGAAAGAAAAATATGGTTAAATCTTTGCTTTTTGTTTGTTTTCCCGTTCTTTGGGCTATTTCACTAATTTAGAAATAGAACAAAACCAACAGGGTGATGATTAAAAAAATAATGATAAAAATAGGAACATCTCACGGCAACAGAAACAGCTGATTGGTCAGGATGCAGAACTCAGCTCTGACTTTGCATCCACTGGCAATGCTGACCTGATGTTAGCTTCTCAGGGTAAAGTACTGTCAGATAAAAAATGTATGACTCAAGTCTGCCAAATATGACCTCAGGCTTTCAATGGGGGAGATTTGTTATGACTCGTTTACATTTGCTGTTTGAAACTATCTTGCATGTTTTAACACAAATGACAATTTAAATGATGACCAATGTATTCCACCAGGATTAAACAAAGGTTGTCGGTAATGAAATTATTTTCCTTTTAACTTCACAATTAAAAAAAAAAAAAAAAAGGATGAATGAGCTTCCGCATTGGTCTAAGAATAAAAGCAGCAATCAATGACCATGACCCAAGGAGAAACCCTGGGCTTTGGGAATGAGGTATTAGCAGGTCGTCAGGATAATCCAGTGAAAATCTTAACGGCCTAATTAAAACAACTGGAGGAATTTAACCGTTTCCTCCTGCCACCTTTCAGAGAGTGCCTTTGGGCAAGGCAACGGAGCAAGAACGGATGCATTTATCAAGCATCAGCACACGACCGGAGGAGCGCTGGCCAGCTCTCAGGTGTGAGTGTATTTTCTTATATGCAACCCTCCCCCCACAATGCCGACCTTTGCTGTAAGTATATATGCTGTCAAACTGTCACAGAGCTGTTCATTCAAAATGTCAAACTTGAAGTTATCAAACTGCTCAAGATTCAAAGTATGCTTGAACCCCCCCAAAAAAATAAAATAAACAGGCTCTTATCGTGCCTCTATGGATTCCTTTCTGTAGCAGCTGCTTATGTTACCTATGGGTAATTTCACCTTGCTTTTGCTCTTCATACAGGGAATGT